CGTGATCCCCTCCCGTGGGGGCACCTATATGTGCTATGGTGCTTCCAGCTCCAACCCCCATATATGGTCACAGGCCAGCAACCAGGTGGATCTCCTGGTCACAGGTGAGGGATCCCCTGCCCGGCCCCATCACTTTCCCAGCATCAATGACTGACCTAAGCCATGTGCCTAGGGGAGCCCTGTGGGTGAGGGAGAGGTTGGGGATGGTGCCCTCCTGGGGGCAGAATCACAGAGGGGAGTGGGACAGACCATGTGGCCTCACTGCAGCCCGCCCCCCCATTTCACAGCCATGGTCACTAGTCAGTATGAGCCCCGTGCACAGTGGGGAGTGCGGTCCTTCAATGCCACCTTCTCCTCCTCTCCAGGGGTGCACACGAAGCCCTCCTTCACGGCACACCCGCGCTCCCCGGTGCTGTTTGGAGCCAGCCTGACCCTGAAGTGTGGCTCAGATGCCGGGTTTTACAGGTTTGCTCTGACCAAAGATGAGCAGCTCTCACGTCCCAGGAACTTTGATGCTCAGCGCAGTCCCAACTTCACCCTGAGCCCTGTGCAGGACACCCACGGGGGCCAGTATAGGTGTTACGGTGGATACAATCTCTCCTACGAGTGGTCAGCCCCCAGTGACCCTCTGGACATCCTGGTGGCAGGTTGGAGCCTCTGCCCAGCCTTACATCTCCACATGGTCTCCTCTGTGTGTGTCCAGGGTTTCCCCTGGTGAAGATGGGGTCAGGGACATAGGGTACCCCAGCAGAGCTGAGATGGTGGTTTTGTCTGAGGAAGAGGAGTGAGAAAGTAGGAGACATGGTGTAAGAGAGGCCCCCAGAGAAACAGAGGTGTGAAACAGGGCTCCTAGCAGAGCACCCCTGAAGAGGAGACAGTGGTCAGCTCAAGGGAGGTGGGGCCGGCTGCTATCCTGAACACCTTGGTCTCCTTCTCTCACAGGAGCCTATGGGAAACCCTCCCTCTCAGCCCATCCCGGGCCCTCGGTGACCTGGGGGGAGAATGTGATCCTGCAGTGTCTCTCAGCCGGGTCTATTGACACATTCCATCTGTTCAAGGAGGGCTTCCTTGCCCCTCAGCAGCACCTTCGTTGGCGGGGCACTCATGGGCCCTTTCAGGCCACCTTCATTCTGGGTCCTGTGATGTCAGCCCATGGGGGCACCTACAGGTGCTACACTTCACACAGCACCTCCCCCTACCTGTTATCACAGCCCAGTGACCCCCTGAAGCTGGTGGTCTCAGGTAAGTAACCCCTGACCCTGTCCCCTCTGGACCCTCATAGTTCAGTGCCCTGTCCCCAAGGAAATCCTGGCTTGTGGTGTGAGGGAGGGGAGCTCTGAAAGAGGGTCCCTCAGATGGAGCTAGTTCTCTGGTGAGTCATGACAACTCCACACCTGCCTCATCCTAAGCCTGGTGGGTTGTGGGGGCTGGACAGGATAAAGGTCACCAAGGGAGGGAGGCTGGATATGGTCAAAGGTCACCTAGAGGTTTGTGGGGGGCTGGACATGGTGAAAGATCACCCAGAGGGTGGTGGGAGACTGGACAGGATCAAAGGTCACCAAGAAGAAAGGCCAGAGGCACCCTAATTCTCATCCTCCCTATATCCTGTCATCCAGAGACCACAGCACAAGCTGATGAGTAACGGAGAACTCATTTCCCGGGAACCCCACATTCACCCTGTCTCCAGCTCGTATTGTGTCTTGGAAATTGGGAGATGGGCAGAGATGAGGGCAGTGATGCCAGGCTCCAGGGCTTCTGTAACTGGGGCCAAATGAGGGCTGGGGCAGTCACAGCAGAGGGATGTGAGGGGGTCCAACCTGGTGTAAGAAGAGCACACTGAAGCCCCTCACCCTGTCCCACTCCCCAGGAGGATCCAAGGATCAGCAGCGCACTCCTGTGGAATCAGAGCCACCGAGCAGTAAGTGAAGGTCTCTCTTTTTGGAGGGAGGGTGGGAAAGTGTTAGTTCTGGCTGGTATCTGTGGTTTTCACAGACTGAGGGGCGCCCCACCACCACCACCACCAGGAAGCAGCTGTGGCATTAGGGAAACAAGGCTTAGCCCCTGTTTCAAATTTGATAGCCCCTGAGTTCAAATCCCAGCTCTGCCACCTCCTAGTGGGGCAAGTCACTGTCTGTAGACCAGACCCCACCATCTCCCTAGGGGCTGCTGTGGGATGTATGGGAATCACCACACTGAGAGGCTGGACCTCACCTGACACAGCGCTCAGTAAGAGGGTCCATCCTTCACCCTCCTCCACACACAGACCATGTCCAGAGAAGCCTCATGGGAGGGTTTCAGGGAACAGAGCCAGGCTAGGCTGGGAGTGGCTGGGGACTAGGATTTGGAGGGCAGGTTTCTCCTCTGGTGTCCCACCTTTGAGGGAAGGGAAGGTATGAGTAAAAAGCAAAGGGTCAGAGATGCTGCTGTCTACTCTTACCACTTCCTTGCTGGGTGACCTAGGGCACATGATTCACCTCATGATTTACGTCTCTGACCCTCAGAGAGGTAATTCATAAAACACGTGGAGTGGAGCCAAAATCCCACATTGCATAGTTGTTATGAGGGTCAGAGGTCATGAATGCAAAGGTCCCAGCTTGTTGCTATTAAGTGCAATCTAGTCGATTCTGCCTCATACCGGACTTATATCAGGTTTCCAAATGAGGCTGCAGTGTTTGAACTGCCAACCTTGTGGTTAGTCATCCACTGCTAATCACACAGCATCATATAACTGCTAAATAATTGGGCATCGTTATTTATTTAGACCTCATTCTTGCCCAAGGT